TATGTTAATTACATAATCCCAATTTTTCTTTTATCAAGATATTTATTACACAATTTTAAAAATATTTTTAAGAAAAACTGTCCCAGACGACTTAATTTAAAGTCGTCTGGACGACTTAGTTGAAAGTCGTCTGGGCAGACGACTTGCGAGGGCTAGAAACGTAAAAAAATACCATTATTTGTTTGTTCACAAGGGGTTGGTTGTAATTTCAATAGCTTTTTAAGTTACTTTTGCATTTGATTCAAGTTTGGGTTTACTTTTGCATTTCAAATCAAGTTTTGAGTCATATTTGGCAATTTTCCCATTAGTTTTACCATAAAATGTAATTTAAAGTTAGATTAACACAGTAAGGCATTTTAAATACAATTTAGATCTTTATATATGTAAGAAAAAATGTACTTTATTCCACACCAATACCTTATACTTTTTGTTCACTTTTTCATATTAACTTATGTAAAATGAAAACGCTAATAAAATGTTCTTTAATAATTATAGAAAAATAATTATGGAGAATTTGCCAAATATGACTCAAAACTTAATTTTAAATACAAATGTGTACTTCAACTCAAATTAAATGCAAAAATAACTTAAAGGCTAGAGAAATTACAAACATGCCCTCATGACTAAACAAAAAACAATATTGTAGTTTACCGTTATAACCTTTGATATCACCTTAATTACCCTAATTAGTGAATTACTGTCTCAAATAAGAAGTTCAGTGTAGTACTTAGGGATCGAATCCAGATAGACTCTGGGATTACACAATAGATTATAGTAATTAAAATGAATCTAGACTAGAAATTGGTTTCAATGATTAAAACAGTAATAGAATGAGGTGAACAAAGTGATTGTCCAATAGCTTGATTTGAAATGGTTTTCAGTTGGGGAATTAGCTAGAATTAGGTATTATCTCAGGTATTAGAAGTATGTAATTGATTTCTGACCTTAAGGGTTTAATTGTTCATGAACTCAAACTTAATAGTGAAACCAAATAGGTTCCCTTTGTCTAGATCTCGGATCTCAACAGTCGTCTTTTGATCTCGGGAAAGTGTCGATGGATGCGTATTTATGAGCATTGATAGATACACCTTTCAAGCTATTGATCGATATGACAATGGTTGCGTCGATCGACGGCTCTTCTAGCAAGCTTTGCGACTGGTTTAATATTGTTCTCTAACTCACTAAACCAACTCTCGTGTGAATCTAGTCAGTTACGTCAAAACTAGTTAGGATTCATGTATTGAGGAAACTAATGTTTATCTCAATCAATCATAAGATCTAAATATATGGGTGATCAATCCTAAATTTAGTATTAAGCATAACTAGGTTGAGGAACCAAACTAAAACACCTTATCAGTAGTCATATTTTCAATACATAAATCAACCTTATTAGAAACATAAATCTAACAAATGAGATTACTCAGACATATTCATAAGACACAAGGTTATGATGGTGTGAATAAAACTCATAGGTAAATAAGAAACAAAGTGAATAAAAGTAAAGAAACAAATGAGTTCAAGATTTTCTCTGTTTTGTAGTCTCAAATCTATCTCTCCATGGCCTAAGCTCTTTTTCTTCAATGGTAAATCAAGTTTTTCCAAAATAGAGTAATCTATTTTTTGTTTGTTCATCACTCCACTATGGAAGGAGAAATGGAGTAGGGTTAGAGTATTTTTACTCCATATTTGTTTACTCTATTTTAGAGAAAAAAATAGAGTTTACATTGAAGATACTCTTAAAGACTTCTCAAATGGAAGAATTCATACTTGATCTCTGCCAGAAGAATGACAAGATTTGGTGGTCCAGGGTGTGGCTAGAAATCCTTTGGCAAGCTCTTCAGATTGATAACTACATCGAAGGATTCAAAGGAAATAACAATACATATGTGAGTTTACGCGTTGTTTAATGTGTTTAACTATCTTGATGTATTTCTAGACATGTGGGAATGCACACATGTACCCTTCGATGTTATACCTTAAGGGTGCTCACTTCTTCGTCTTGTACCGATTTGAGGAGGAAAGTCTTGCATTGATGAAAACCATAGCTAATAAAGGCTCCGAGATTTCTTCATGGTTTGCAAAGCATTTTGGGACAATGATGAGTATTTCTTTCGTTTCAATAGAAACTATATCCAAAGGATAAGCATGAAGGTTAAATTTAAGGGTTGGGGGAATGACTCCTGGACATATTATCCGAAATCCAAAAATCGAACCGGAACCGAGCCGAAAAAAACCGAGACCCTATAAACTCATCCCTCTTTGTTGTAAGGCACTCGACTTAGGAGACAACACCCCAATAAGGGTGCAAATATGTGCCACCACTGATTTTAGACAAGGTATTTGGGGATTGTTTTCCATTAAAATGAACAAATTATATCATATTAGTTTATAGTCAAATAAATTACACAACATACTACCATAAGCTTTTAAAGTCACTTTCATATAATTCCTAACTTAAGATGAAAAAGTTACAGAAATATAATTTGACACATTTTATTGTTGAAAACACTCATAGAATATGTTTATAGACTTACATAAACGGTAAAATCAAAAGAAAAATCATGAAAATTTTTTTAGGATAAACCTAAAAAAATTTTGATCACAAATATAGACTTTAAGAATAAATGATCAAGATAGATTTAAATGTTTTATCAAAATAAGTAAATATATATTTATACTTTTTAGGTTAACTAATCATAGATTTTTTTTTTTTGTTTAGAGTTGAGAAGTGTGGTTTTGAGGATAGGATTTCAAATTTAAAAAAAAAAAAAATTTAAAATAAAAAATATTATTTTAGTCATTTTAGTTTTTAAAATCTATCTCTGTGATAAAAACTTAAAAATGTCTATTTGAGAAAATCGCCCAAAAATCAAAGTGTAACTAATATTAATATAACTGGAAAACACCAAAAGTATAACTATTTGGGATGATCGTACAGCTACTATTTCTGATAACTAAGTCGAATTTTATGGCAGACCTCCACCAAATTTTCATCAAAATTTTTAAAAACAGTCCTTCTGCTTTCATTAATTTCTAGTATCTCTCTCTCTCTCTCTCTCTCTCTCTCTCTCTCTCTCTCTCTCTCTCTCTCTCTCTCTCTCTCATTTGATTCTCCCTCTTTTCGGTGCATATTATGTTTGTTATCTTTCCTTCTTTACAGTAGCTATCTATGGATCCGAACTACAGCGATGACAAGATGAACAAGAAGGAATATGATTGCCTTTTTGCTATAGCGGATGGTAACTACAACATTCCAAAGAAGTGTTTATGTAGTAGACCAAACAGTGAGGAACATTCTCAAACTGAATTCGACCTAGGAAGAAGATACTTCATTTGAAAAATGTGATGCTTTATCTATCTATGTTCTCCAGAGTGAGGGCTTCCACATTCAGAAGTGTTGCTTTCATGCTATTGAAGAAGAAATGACTATGTTAAAGAAACAAGATTGATGACCAGGAAAAGAAGATTGAAAGCTTCGGTTTCTTGGAATTCAAGATGGAGCAAATACGTAAAGATCTGGAAAAATGGTGAAGAGACTGCAAAGCTGAATGACTACATGTGTCTTGATGTTTAGAATCGATGTGTGTTCGTTTGAAATCTTGTGTGTTTAATTTATCTTATCTCTGTGTTTAACTCTTACTTGGATATGTTTCATATTAAGTATGACTATATAACTCTCTATCTTTAGTGTAAAATTATATGCTAAGTTTTGCTTAAATATGCTAATAGTACGAATTTAACCATTATAGTTTTACCTAGTAATACAGTAGTACAAATTTATAAGAAACCACAACCAACATGTTCTCACCTATTAAACAATAAACAACTAGGTAATTTCATAGCTTTTATTTAAGAAAAATGAGTGAATATTCTTTTGTATACTATTGTTTCAAAAATAAATTATTTTATATACTATTTATCAATTTAATAGTTAATTTAACAAAAAAATATAATATAAGTTAAGATGGACTAACCTACTTTCTAAAAATTCTGAATTTCATTCTTATGGTGACACGTATCTACAAAATAATATTGTAATGTTTTTCAATTTATATATATATAAAGGATATCGTTTTACCAAGAGATACAAGTAGTAGTACAAATGCAATGACAACATAAGCTGCAAAGCGAGAATATCCTTGTGGAGTTACCATTGGTCCCACAAATAGTTGCAAACTCAAACGTCGAATAGGATAATATGTTTTTCATTTTATTTTGTTCAGTTTCCAGTATTTCCTTTGTGTTTCTAAATTTAAAATAAATTAAAGTAACAAGGACCAATGACTTTACTCCATAATTAGTCTTTGCCCTTTTTCATTTTAGGCAAAAACAGAGAAAAATAACTGAAAATTTGAATTCTTTTCCAGCAAAGGATCAACCCTCAACCTCCTCCTTTCACCATACTGATCATTGTTGAATTTACCCCTAATTATTGTTGAGTTTCTTCGAGACCGTTCCCGGGGACTAAGTGGTGTTTTCTTAAATCTTTTTTCTCTGCCAAATCTTTGGTAAATTTTCAGCCAATTTATGGGTTGATTTCTTCAGCATCAGTTATGGTTTCTGTGGATGATTCTTTCGAAATATTCTTCCATCCCTTTCACAAAAAATCGATGTTTTTTTTAAACACAAATCGATGTCTTTTGTTATTGTTTTGTTTATATATATATACCTACAAGTCGATATGATTTTTAATTTTTCATGCAAGTTTACCTGACATTTCCAAACTTACATGCCTATGTATAATTATTGTTGTTTAGTTGATATTTGTAATTGGGTAAATTTCAAAGGAATTTGTATTTAGGTTCTTGTTTGTTTTGAAACATGTGTAAAAACTCTAAATCTTGACTTAATAAAAACATTATTATGTTTTCTTTTTTGGTAAAAAAAAAAAGAAGTCATAGAGCATATTAGTAGGAGTCAATTTGGTATGAGTTTTGAATATTTATTAGAAAATTTTGGTTAGGCTCATGGAATGATGTATTTACGTAATAGGTCCAGAAATGAACAACCGAGTCAAAGGAGGATCCAGCATGATTGGTGTTTATGGTCGACCATATGGATCAGGCAGCATTCTGAGTTTTGATGGATCAGAAAGTCGTCAAAGTATAGATGATACTAAGCACGGCAATGATATTTTTTGTATCTTCTTTAATTTTCATGATATTAGTTAAAATTATGATTTGTTCTTGTAACCAGTTTTAATTTGACTCACAGGTCATCAGAGTTTAGTGGAGTGGTTAAATGAGACACTTCCTTATTTAAATTTACCATGGGAAGCTTCAGAGGAAGAACTAAGAGCGTGTCTGATGGATGGTACTGTCTTTTGCAATCTCTTGAATCAGCTTAGTCCCGGTTCAATGAAAATGGTATTTGATATTTTTAAAAATCTATTGGCTTTCTATATACTTATTCATATTTTGGATTTAATATATTTTGGATAATCATATAGGGCGGTAGTTTTGAGCTTGCTTCTATAAATATTGAGAGGTTTTTAACAGCTATGGATGAAATGGCCTTGCCAAGATTTGAGGTTTCAGACTTAGAACAGGTTTGAAATCTTTTTGATTCTTTTTTATCCAAAAGTTTAGGTGGGTGTATTTGATCAAACATTTGAGAGAATATCATATTAAATAAATTTATAGATGATTTTACTGATTCTGGATGAATTAACAAAATTTATTATAACTATTGATACAGGGGGATATGATTCCAGTTTTACAGTCTCTAAAGGCGCTTAAAGCTAGTTTCTCTGATGCTGGATATGATAAGAATACACTTAGCTCAATGAGAAGATGGAGTTTGCCTGAAGATCAGTCAAAAGGACTTGATAGCAACTTTAGTGATGGATTACAGTCTAAGGAAGTCTCTGAGATTAATACACCTCATGCTAAAATTTTAGACTTACTAAAATCAAACACTTTACAGGTAAAATGTTCTAACAAAATTAAACAAAAATATGTTTTCTACATCACTTTAGTTAATTTTGTTTCAAGATTGCTAATTCAGATTACATATCCTTAAACCTAAACCCTAAACTTGTAATTCTGGTTTCGTTTTCCTTTCCTCTTATTAGAATACTTCTACTCGATCCTTGTTTGATATGCTCGATAAGCTTCTTGACGAGAACATGCATAAGAAGAATATGGATGTGTCTCATGTAAGGAAATGATTTTGAACTATTAGTTCATAATTTTTTAATTCTCAATCTTTATTTTGTGTGCTTGCTCTGTTTTTTTTTTTCCAGGATTTTGCATCTATCTTGAGAGGCATTGTGCAAGTGGTGGAACAAAGGATCTCAAATCAAGCTGAGAACCTAAAGAATGTATGATTAATTCAAGTTTTTATTATTAATTTTTCGTTTACACTATCATACCTACAGAATAAGGAGATATGCTTGTGCAGCAAAACATACTCTTTAGGGTTCGAGAAGAAAAATATAGATCAAGAATAAATGTATTAGAAACCTTAGCATCTGGGACAACAGATGAGAATGAGGTACTCTTAATCAAATTCAGTCTTTCTATGCGAAAATTCATTTTGTTGCCATTTTCAAGAAAATGTTCAATTGTATTACTATCGTGTGCTCTGTAGCTAAGGTCAGAAGAACAAGATATACTCCAACTGAAAAGGAAAAAGGATCGCAGTGATGCTGAGCTTTTTAAGTTGAAGCAAGAACTTGAAGTTTTGAAAGAGGCACACGGAAAAAAAATTCTGGAACTAGAATTATATGCTCAGCAAGCTAAAACTGTGCTGGAGAAGAAATTAGAAGAGTCAGAGTTACGTGTGGTAGACTCAACCAATAAAGTGAAAGAACTCGAAAAATTATGTGAAACCAAAACGAAAATATGGGAGAAGAAAGAGCAAACATACAAGAGCTTTATAAACAAGCAGTCAGAGGCTTTGCAGGTTATTTGACTTCACTGATGGTTTTGTGAACTCTTGTAATTGGGTTCTTACTACAAATGTGTGGTTGATCAGAACAAAAAGAGTTCTTATAATTCTTTAACTATCATCAACTTACGTGAATTCTGTAGGACTTGAAAGTTACGTCATTGTCTTTGAAAGATGAAGTTCGAAAGACAGGAGAGAATTACTTTCAAGATCTAAATTACTACGGTAAGATCGTTTTTCTATGTCTTTTGGCTTCAGTGTTTTTTTTATTTGTACTAATAATATACCTCTTTAAAAAAAATTATAATCTACCTCTTAGGTTTAAAGCTTAGCGGAGTGGTTCATGCAGCAAAAAATTACCAGGTGGTTGTTGAAGAGAACCGAAAGCTGTACAATGAAGTGCAAGAACTAAAAGGTATCAGTGGTGAAATCTTGGTTTAACGCCAATATCTTTGAAACATATTTTTTGGGATCAAAATATCGGAAATTTAATCTCGACACCAATATCACGGAATCAAAGAATCATGGGTATCTTATGTTGCAAACTCAAAAGTATTGTTACGGTGCTAACTCTACTTCATCTGTTCAAGCATTTTCTAGACTGATAAATTTGCGTATTGCCATCTTTTAAATTGTATTTCATATTTCTTCAATAAAGGAAATATTAGAGTCTATTGCCGGATAAGGCCATTCCTTAAAGGACAAAACAAGACAGAAACATCAATAGAGTACACAGGTGAGAATGGTGAGCTGGTGGTTGCAAACCCCTTAAAGAAAGGCAAAGACACTCATCGGTTCTTCAAATTCAACAAAGTCTTTGGCCCTTCATCAACTCAAGGTCTAAGCATCTTCTATGATTTTCATACAATGAAAAATATAGTTAAAAAGTTGTACTAAATCTCTTGTCAATGCAGAAGAAGTATTCTTAGATACTCAACCGTTGATTCGTTCCCTTCTTGATGGCTATAATGTCTGCATATTAGCTTATGGTCAAACAGGTTCTGGAAAGACTTATACAATGGTAAGTAAACATATCTATGTAAAAGATAATATGATGTCATTCTTTATAAGTTTATATCAAATATGTGTTTTCCATTTTATGTTTCCAGAGCGGACCAAGCATAAATTCAGAAGAACATTGGGGTGTAAACTATAGAGCTTTAAATGACTTGTTCCACTTAACTCAAAGTAGTCAAAACACAGTCATGTATGAAGTTGGTGTTCAAATGGTTGAGATTTACAATGAGCAAGTTCGGGACCTACTTTCTGATGATGGTCCCAATAGAAGATATCCTTCTCTAATCTAATCTAGTATTCAAAATTTTAACCATTTTTTTATTTTCAAAAGTTAATCTTCCTTAATTTGCGCACACTTGGGATTTGGAATACTGCTTTACCAAATGGCCTCGCAGTTCCTGATGCAAGCATGCATTGTGTAAGATCAACTGAAGATGTTCTTGAATTGATGAATATTGGATTGATGAATAGAGCTGTAGGTGCAACAGCTCTTAATGAAAAGAGTAGTAGATCACACAGGTTTAAAGACATTTTTATTTTTATTTTTATTTTTTTTCTTCATATTCATTGCATAGCTAAGCCAAAACATTGTTTGGTCTTTTTTTTTTGCAGTGTTCTTTCTGTTCATGTACGCGGTGTTGATGTCAAGACTGACTCCGAGTTGCGCGGTAGTTTGCATTTGGTTGATCTTGCTGGAAGTGAGAGGATTGATCGGTCTGAAGTAACCGGAGATAGACTCAAAGAAGCACAACATATAAACAAGTCATTGTCTGCTCTTGGAGATGTTATTTTCGCTCTAGCACATAAGAATCCTCATGTACCTTATAGAAACAGCAAGCTAACTCAAGTCCTCCAAAATTCCTTAGGTACATTCTCCGAATAATGATGAATTTTCTTAGTCTGTGACATTTTTGTTTGTTTTATAACTCTCTTGTTTTATTTTGTTAGGAGGACAAGCGAAAACTCTTATGTTTGTTCAGATAAATCCTGATGAAGATTCATATGCCGAGACAGTAAGTACTTTGAAGTTCGCGGAAAGAGTTTCGGGTGTCGAGTTAGGTGCAGCAAGAAGCTATAAGGAAGGACGAGATGTTAGACAACTCATGGAACAGGTGCGTCTGATATTTTGTGAACCCTCAACAAATATGATTGAATCTTGATTATTTATAATTGATAATTCTTGATCATGATATTTCATCAGGTATCCAACTTGAAAGATATGATTGCAAAGAAAGACGAAGAACTTCAAAAGTTTCAGAACATAGACGGTACCAAAAGAAGTGGTTTAAACAATCTAAGGTTTGAGTCGACTTCTCCAAGAAGACATTCTTTAGGAGGACTGTCACCAAATTCTTCAAGGCAAAGACAAGGATCTCGTTTAATTGGAAGAACAACTTCAGATTCAGCAGATGAACGTGTATATCAAAATGAATCCAGATTATCGCCTAAATTATCCGGTAGGGCTAAAGACAACAATATATTGAACTATCAGGCCATTAACATTTAAATTTGAAAAAACACTGACTGATGTTTCTGCTATTTGTCTTTCAATGAGGATAGAAACTGATGGCTCGAATCTCTTTGCTGAAACCTCAAGTCCTCTTGAAATGTCTGAACAATCAGAACAAAATGAAAAGTGAGTATGTATCATAGTTAATTTTACTTTTAATCCTATATGATTTATTTAACAGTTTGTTTAGTGTTCATTGTGTATCTGTTGATTGCAGAGCTAGTGTTGAACCATCAAAGCTACTAAAGCATACACTAAAAGCAGACCAAACGAGACCTTCTCGTCTGTCAATTTCCACCTCCTCCTCTAAGGCTTTAACAGGTAATCTCACCATTGACTCTTACAACAAACAATGGTTGCCTTGTATGGAACGAATGTAGGATACCAAAAATGACAATGCAAAATATCACTAAAATATTACTCCATATGTTGTAAGTTGCAACCATTCAGATCCAAAGTGTTTGGCATGGAGTCATGATGTGTTTGTCTTTAAATGGCAGGTTCTAAAAGACAGATTAATGGCCTTTCAACTTCAGTGAAACCTCTTACCAGAAAGCGATGAAAAACATAATTGCTGTAACTTTAAAGATTCAAGTCTATGCTCGGAAGCTTTCTTTCTTCTACACTACATAAACTAACAATGTTTGGTTTATCAGAAACTCGAAAGTAAGTAATGATAAATGTATCAAATAGAATCAAATGGAAAATGCTTGTGATGATGTGTATGGTGTAACATACAAGCAGAATCTAACAACCTTGAATGGAAACTAATTGTTACATACTTTAGTAACTATTACAATCTTGGTTCAAATTACCGGGTTCAGAGCGTGGCCAAAACACATTTAAAGAGAAAAAAACATAAGCATGACGCAAAATTCAGGAAAACTTAATCTTATCTTATTAAGTTTTAAACATGACTTGCAAATCTTATCATAACAAAAATGCTAACACCGAAGCAGCCACAGCAAGAACCATTCCCCCAAGTTTGTTACATCCTGTACAAAAGAATAATCCAAACATTACAACATTGACTGACCGTAATACTAAAAGTAGATCTAATAATGTTGCAGCTGTTTTGTATTTGAAATATAACTTTTAGAACCTGAAAGCTACTATACTCTGACATGCAAAAGTTACGTATCGTCTACTCTCTAGATATAAACCATCATTATATATATATATATATATATATATATATATATGCTCACCTCTGATTGAGAAGGAACCGCTGCGAGTAGGAGGTGGAAGCGGCGGCAACGATGAATCGTAGGTATCAAAACTCACAAGGCATTTAGGAGTCCAGATCATAGCCCAACGATTATCACTACAACACTCAATGATCTCTTGCAACGCAAGTTTCAGGCATGTGCTACAGTTTCCAGGATCCAAATAAGAAGTGCACTGAACAATAGACTCAAGATCATACAAGTTATCGTACCTAGTCGTATCCATAAGGTAATATGGAGTAAATGATGAAGATAACATAGACGATCTGACGATAACTTCACCCATTTTGTCAGACAACCTCTCTTTAAATTTACCAAATGTTTTGGGTATTAAATCGGTAGACCGCCAGGAGGTATTAGGCTGTGTTTCTAAAGTCAAGAGAAAGAACTTATCTGAGTAACGAATCATAAGTTCACGGTTGTTGGTACAGTTTTTGGCGATCTCGATTGTTGCGGTCTTAACGCAGGAGTTGCACGTTGTTCTGTTGACGTCTCCTGTGCATAAGAACATTCCGTGGACTGTGTCTGAAGCTAGACCGGTCGTGAGGTTGTAATATTTAGCGAGGGAGGACTGGTTGCTTAGAGCGGAGAGATGAGCGTTGAGATTTGTGTGGTAAGTTGAGTTGAGAATGAAGTTTCCGGATGATTTGTTACAGAAAGTCTCCATGTGGTCAGATTCGGACATAGTTTGGTTAGTTGTGAAGAGAAGACACATGAGAAAGGAAAAGCAAAAGAAAGCAGAGAGTTTTTTTTGTTGTTAGCATGCTTTTACCACTGTGGTTTTTTTTTTTTTTTTTTTGATCAATTTTTTACCACTGTGGTTATGAGACAAAACTAAAAAGAAGAAATGATTTCTGTAACAAGTTCACGAGTCCGTATTTTTTAACTTGTTTTCTGCTTTGCTTTGGTCTTTGTTTAATCTTTACTTTTTTTTTCTTTCTTGGATTCACAACTGATTAATGGGTGAGAATATATATACTTCAAGTAGAGGTTAATTAAGGGAACAAATTAACTGTGAAACCAATATTTATGTGAAATATAATGTAGTTAATAAAAAACCTATGAATCTAATCTATATATCATTTAATAATTGACCATTCAGAATCTCAAAAAGTTATTTAGTCAAATATAAACAGTAGAAACTCTATAAATTAATAATGTTAAGATTTTGAAATTTTACTAATTTATAAAAATAATAATTTTAAAAAAAATCTTATTTTTATTTTTTATTTTAAGATATATTTATTCTAGGATAAGAAAAATATTTGATTTAGTGTATATACATTAATTTTTGAAATCTGAAATTTATATTAATTTTATTATATTATTTAATGTATATAATATATATTTCATAGAATTTAAATGTGGTTTTAGATATAAAATTACTTAACCAAAAATATATTAAGTATTAAGAAAATATAAATTAATTCTAGAATATAAAAAAATATAAAGAAATTTTTACTTATATAAAATAGTATGCATATAAATTATTAATTTATATTTTTTGTAGGACCATATCTTTATATAGAATATTTTTTAAAAATATTATTTTGTTATTTTCTCGATTGATGTGTTAAATTTTAAATTAACCCGAATTGAGACCAGATAATATTCATTAATCTATCAATCTATAGAAATCATTAATTTATCGAATATTAATGTATAGAAATTTTATCGTACTACAAGTTTTCCGAATCAAAAGTGAGTTTCACATTGAGGCCAGGTTCCTCGGACAACTAAACCAAAGAGAAGCACGGCAAGGACGTACAGAGCTTTAGTGATTGTTATTGAGGACAAAGAACTCTTACAAAATCACTTAAGAAAAAAGGAATAATTATGTTAGAAATCAGTGGTTATTTGATTGATCCATCATGTTTGATTAATCAGTTCATAAAACAAAATAATCATTTGACGAAAATTGATTGAGGGTGGGTTTATAATTGCATAAAATTGTTGAAGAGAAAACGACAAACAATCCCAACGCCTGACTCAAGCTTAGTGCAATTCTGGGCATTGTGTTTAGGACATGTAACTGACTACTTCGTGTGAATGTCATTCTAACAAATATACAAGAGGTAGAAAATGATGAAACACAAAGACCATAAGGGATAAGACTAATTCGATAGCCCAATTTGAGTTGGGGCAGATTATCACAACTGAAAAGGTATCTTAAAGTTTACAGCTCTGGAAGAACTCTTGGTTGTTGTAGTCTCAGACAACTCCTTCATACCAGTCCATGCTTTTCTCTTCCTCTTATTCGATCCACCACCACCACCAACTGTTGTTTTTTTCTCAGGAACACTTTCGGGCTCAATTGGTTTCTTACTTTTGGATTTCCTTATTCTCTTCTCTCTCTCCAGTGTAAGCATTGGCTTTGGTGCATTCTCCAAAACATTTTCGAGATCATTCTCACATCTTCTTTCAGGTGAAGAAGGAAGTATGTTACTTTGGATTTCTTGAGGCACTACCACCATCTTCTCTTTATCCATGTTGGGACGTTGACGAGTTGTTTTTGGCTTGGGCGGATAAATCTCTTTCATCAGACCTTTAGCAGTTCCTCTCTTGAGATTACGGTGAGAACAGAAGTTGCAGTAGTAAACTACATTGTTCTGAGGCAGAAACATGTTAGGCTTCTTCTTGTACCTCCTCATGTGTTTCTTCTTACTAGCAGAAACCTTCTCGATTCTAACATTACAATTGAAGCCAGGCTGAAGAACTGTCTCACACCTACAGGAGAGACAAAACAATCATTATATACATTGGTAATCAATTCACAAAACAATCGCTAATAGAAAATCATAAAAAACAACACAAAAGCTACTATTAAAATACCTTTGACAAGAGAATAGATCAGGATCATGAGGAATGTCGGAAGCTTCTCCATCAGCAGCGAGACGTCGACCGAAGAAAGTAGCTAAGGAAGGGATGGGAGTATCTCCGCCGGTGGACCAGAGAGCGAGACTTTTCAAGTGCTCGTGTCTGAGCACAGACTTGAGGTTAGGTCCTCCTTGAGCTTTTGTAAGCTTGTTAGCTCCCCGTTTACCCATCTTCTGAGTTCAATTCGGTTGGATTTGGTAATTAAAAAAAAAAGAAAAGAACCAAAGAAGAGCTTCTTTCACAACCGCTGTAAAACCCTAAAACCGAAACCTTATCAAAATCATCAATCAAGAGTAAAAACGGATCTGAACAGTAAAAACCCACACCAAATCAACTTCTAAGACGAGAGAGAGAGATTCAACAAAGAGTGATTAATCAGTAGTAGCAACCCTTTCAGACTTAATATATCCATGAACCAACATGTGTAGGTTATTAAAATATGCAGATGCTACAAGAGATTTTAATCGATGGCTACCAGAAAACAAACAAGAACAGTTTAAAAGAAGATCACATTGCCATGCCGTGACAAGAAACTACAATAACAAAACAGAGGAAGTAATGAACTCTGTAGTTTGTACCCTTATGTGGACTGTTAACGAATAAAAAAGGAGAAACCAAGTTCAGACACAACAAAACCAACCCATTTGACTAAAAAGATTCATCAACTCACAGATCACATTTCTATCAAACATGTGAATCTGTTACTTTTTTACAAGCTAAAAAAGAAGATTACTGGATTCCCCCACTTTGAGATATAATATTGACATATAGACTCCACAAGCTCTCTTTTTCACTTTCTGGTCATAGATAAAGGACTAGGTGACAAACCAACTACTTGAGAAAATAAAGCTTAAAAGCAAAACGCTAAGGTTTATGTATCATGATTTCCACGTTGTGTTTTAAGTTAATAACTCTGAACTCCTTTTTAATTACCCAGTGGTTGGTCACAGATAGAGGACAAGGGTGTGGAGTGTGGTGACTGGTGAGGGATACCAAATAGAGAATCGTTCTGACTAAAAGCTAATATTTCAAACCTTTGGTTTCGTTCCGAAATTTAAACTAACCCACGTAGATTAAGCACAAAACAGATTAGGAGGTCAAGAGATTGTAATAAGAAACGGAAAAGAAACCAAGTTCGGACACAAGTAAACCAAATTCAGACACAAGTCACAGATTCAACATCAGGCAAGGAAAAACTGTAAAGTCAGACAAAGATTCGAAATTTAAACTAACCAACGTACATCAAGTAGAGAGATCGAGAAGAGTTCGTGGTGTTGGTCTGTGAGACAGTAAATCGGAGGAGAGATCTCGTGGTGGTGGTCTGCTTCGGAGGAGAGAGCTCGTGGTGGTGGTCTGCGTCGGAGGAGAGAGCGCTCGTGGTGGTGGTCTGTGAATTGGAGCCTTGGAGGAGAGAGAGATCGAGAAGAGAGGAGTGCTCACAGAGTCACAGAGTCACAGGCCACAGCAAAAAAGTGAAGTCGGCAACAGTAGTTTCAAAAAAAAACCCTAAGCCTTACGACCCCGTTTCCATGCTCTGGAAAAAAAAAAAAAAATTTTAACGGCCACCCTTTTATTCGCGGATAAACCCGTTTAATAAACATTCTTAACGGGCTGACCCTATAAGAACCCGTTATGATTTGATCTGTTTAATTACAATCCGCCCGTTAAATCCGCGGGCTTCTAGCCCGTTTAAACATCCCTGGTAGCAAGCAAGATCAAGCAAGATCAAGCAAGATCGAGTAATATCAAGAAGAGGAAAGTTCAAAATCTCTGCTTTTGCGCTGCTGTGTTGTTTGTCGTGCGCTCTATCAAAAATACAACACTCACCTCTTATTAAAATTGTGAGTCCATGGCCGAATAGTCGTTGATGGGATACCCACCGTGGCGAAAAGGACCTGATCGGCAAAGCTATGCGGTTCACCGTTTTTTTCTCCGAGTTATTGGTGGAATCCAAAAATGCGGCGGTTAATTACAAAGTCGCTTCGAAAATCTCTTGGTTGATAGTTACTTGAACGTTTTTAAGTATAATTAGTCATAAATAACAAAAGAAAAAGAGATGAAGTCGTGTGTGTATGTATCAAACAGATGTTGCGCGACTAATATTTAGAAAAGCGTCTGTGTTCTTAGGTTAGAGATGAGGACATGACTGTAATTTTCATTTAACTAGTAAAACAAGAAAATATTAAGAATTTGCAGAGCAGGGGCGGGGCCGAACACTAGGTTTAGTAGTTGTTCCTAAGGCCATCGGTATCGGGAGCCCATAGGTCCGTCCCGTTGTTATATTTGGGTCGAGAATAAATGAAAAAAAGAAATTAAAATGGGTGGGACGGGCTTTAACTAAGGCTCTTCGAGCTCGTCCCGTAGCGACATGGCGGCACGGGAGTGGGAGATGAGCTCGTTGTGTTCGGCTGTTGTTCTCCTCGAAAATTCCAAAATCGAAATCAAAAAAGAAAATCAAAAGCTTGATGGAGATGGCGATGGCGAAGGCTTGATCTCCAATCCATCTCTTCAAATCGAAAGCCAAATCTGCATTTTTTCTATTTCACTAAAGTGAGAGATCTCTTTATCTTCGTTGGCGAGGTCGCAGATTCGTTCGTCGTTTGATCCCCAGATCCTCCTCCAAAGCTCAATCCACTTCGGTTCACTTCCGTTCCAATACGACGAGAACCAACATTTGTGCGAACAAAGACGACGACGAATGCCATATTTACAAATGGTGGGATGAGGCGGTGATGGAGGAGATGAGAGCCAGAGATATCCACGTGCTTCAGCTGGCTGAAAAAGAGAAAACCTAACCTTTTTGACTGACTATGACACTGAGCTGAAGTTACAAAACCTAGAGAAGATTGTGGGTGATATGGCTAAGGAGAAATCTTATTTTAGTTATGGGTATGAGTGCTTGGTAATAGGCATAGTTGTTCTTGTTGTTGTAATAGGATTGGTGGTTATGTATTTTGTCTAATTTCTATGAGAAATCGAACTCTTCCAAGTCTTTTTTGTATTATCTCGGATGTAAACTTTACTTTGTAACATGACATTGTTGTTGTGCTTGTTGTATTTTCTCGGATGTAATTTTTCTATGTAACTTAACCTTATTATGTAATTGAATTCCTACCAAGTCTCATTTATTGGTGTTGCTATTAGTCTTTTATTTGTTCACAAGTTTAATCATGTAACCATGATCACAAGTTTAATCATGTAACCATGATCACAAGTTTCTTATTTGTAACATATAGCTCGAGCAAAGTTTCTTATTTGCAACAAATAATGACATTTAAATTTTTTTACAAGATGGAACCTGGCAAGTTAGATTGTTTCTACACATGTTTATTTCATTTATTTTGCTTTCTACCAATAAGTTAGATACAAACCACATGTTTATCTTGTTTTCTACCAATAAGTTAGATACAAACCACATGTTTATCTTGTTTTGTACCAATAAGTTAGATACAAATTGTAATAAAGAGAAATTATTTATTCACGGGAGATTCATAGAGACTTCATTGTTGTCATATAAGTATTCAGACTTCTTCTCTCATTACAAATATGCAAAGTCTCATATTCTCTTAAATTTCTAAACATTTTTATTTCTCTTGTAGAAATTTATCAATGGCTTCTTCTTCTCATTATCATTACCACAATGATAATATGATGAATTAGATGATGTATTTGAAGATATTTGAAGAAGAAAATGACTTAACGGCAGAACCAAAAGAGCGAAAAAACAAGTTTTTATCGAGAGACACCGGGAGAAAGGCCATCAGAACCTCTGAGATAATTATTTTAGCAAAACTCCAACATACCGGACAATTTTTTCCAGCGACGGTTTCGAATGAACAAAACATTATTCTTGCGTATTGTGCATCGTCTCTCTACAGAAGTTCGGTATTTTCAACCCAGAGTAGATGCAACCGGACGGAGTAGTCTATCTCTGCTCCAAAAATGTACCGCAGCAATTCGTCAATTGGCGTATGGTGGTGGGGCGGACACAGTTGACGAATATGTCTGAATTGGTGAAACAACGGCTCGTAGAAGTTTGCACAATTTTGCCGCCGGAATAATCCAATTGTTTGGAGATGAATACTTAAGACGTCCCACACCGGAGGATTTAAAATGACTACTATATTTTGGAGAACAACGTGGATTTTCAGGGATGATTGGAAGCATCGATTGCATGCATTGGGAGTGGAAAAATTGCCCCACCGCTTGGAAAGGAATGTATTCACGAGGCACCATAATAACAAATACTATTAAAGTTATTAATTATTACTTTTTGGCCCTGTACATTAGAAATTTTCTTAGTTGGCTTGTACATAAATAATTATTCGTAGGCATTGGAGCTTTTTTCAGAGATCTTAGCGCACACACCTTAACTGTAGATGTAATCAAACAACTTGATGAGAATATCCGGATCTTGATGTGCAATTTGGAAAAAAATATTTCCTCCGACTTTTTTTGACGTCATGGAACATCTTGTTATCCACCTTCCGTATGAGGCACTGCTTCGTGGACCTGTTCATAATGGATGGATGTATCCTTGCGAGCCATGAAACATCTAAAAGGGAAAGCAAAAAATCTGGCAAGAGTGGAAGGTTCAATAATTGCTGGAAGTTTGAATGCGGAAACATCTCATTTCACTTCATACTATTTTGGATCACAAGCCCGGACTCGGAAAAGAACAACGAGCAGGTATGATGGTGGTGGTGTTGAGCCGACATATGTTGTTGAAGACGTTCCACACATATTCTGTCAGGTTGGACGTCTAGGTGGAAGGTTGAGAGAAGTTTGGTGGTCGAGTTTTGAAGACGCTGATAGACCATGATTTTGACCCGCCTTTAGCCATGGTTTTGATATGTTTTTATGAGTTTTATATATGTTTTGGAGTCTATTAGGTATGTTTTCAGGTTCAGGAGCACTTTGGAGTAAAATGATGATTTAGGTGCCCTTTTGGAGCATAAAGGAGAGTTTTCCGAGATGACTATGAAGATTAGACAATGAGGACACATATCGATCGATACACACCCTGTATAATCGATCGATGACGCTTCTATCGAAGATGAAGTCAAGATACTCCATCGATCGATGTACACCATGTACCATCGATCGATACGATGCGTGGAGAGCAAGTTCAACTTGGCCGACTTGAAGCCCAAGTCTTCCCAATATTACAAAAATTCCCCTGCGAGTTTTTAACCTAATGGAACTCTTATTTATAGTTTTTTCCTTTGTGTTTGGCAAGGTGTGCTTTTTACATGCTTATATTGTTTCTAATACTTTTTGATATCTTTTGTACCTGAAAAGCTTTGCACACTTTTCTTGTTACTTTGTTCTATTCTATAAAGTATTTCTTTTCATCTCAATTTCTAAAAGGTTATAGAATTCTAGATCTAGAGGAAACACACAAAGAGATTTGTTGTTCCAAGAACCAAGAGTTCAATCCTTTATCTATGGGTTTCTATTATTACCTAATTGTTATGAATCTCTCAGTTATGACTTAGTAGATCTCCTTGTTAGATTTAGGGTTCAAATAGTTATGAGGGATTAGTCCCAACTATGGAATGTTGAATTGTTGATATTCATTATCCAAGTGAACCCTAATGCTTACTCTAGAGTAGCTACTTAGAGTATGATCATGGATGTGATTAAACTTGTTTATCATTGTCCTGAAATCATTTGGCATAAGTTTAGATCCTCTAGGGACGTGCGAGAGCCGCTCTATGATCTTGGTGAACACAGATTTGGTTCGATCTTATGCTATATCGATCGATACTCATATAGAGTCATCGATCGACAGCAACCCATATCGTCCGATATCGCTGTCAAAACATTGGTCGATATTGCTGGCAATAAGATCAATGGATGTGTCTATTTAGCGACTGCTATTAGATCTATCTAAGAATCAAAGTTCTCATATATCTTGCAAACAATTCATTAAAACATATGTAGCATTATAATCCTGATTATCTGAATAGCAACCTTGAATCTAACTATTTTTTTTTTATTGTTTTAAACCTAAAAACCATTCTCTTAAGCAACTTACCATTGCTTAATAAACTGCAACTTTACTATTTTAAACCTTTTCAACCTAGCATAATCATTTAGATTATATCTATTGCATTCCTTAGTTCCCTGTGGATTTGATCCCTAAGTACTACAACTGAACCTCTTATTTGAGAGAGTAATTCACTTAGGGTTAAACATTTGAGTGATATCAGACGCCCACAGTGCGCACACATATATACTCCTTAACTGCGAGGAGCTTGAGTATTTTGAAAAGTAAGTAGTATTCTTTATATGCCGTAGTGTTTTAATTACCACACATATACTACAATATCTAATATCATCAATTTATTTTAAAACAGTGATTTCGTTGCCCAAGTCGAAGATGCTATACCAGGGATATCAACCAATGATATCAACAAAAGGAAAGATCAACACTTTGTGAAGTGGTTAAAAACGCAGATAAATATATA